TTAATGCTAGCATATGTTTCTTTAAAGAGTGTGTAATCTAGAAATTTTACTGCTGGAGTTATGCTTTACATATTTTGTGTTTCTTCTTATTCCAATATTATTCAGTGGGAATATGCAGGGGATTCCAATCAAAATTGTCCTGAGAGCATAAATTTTAGAAGACACTCTTACAACAAGGGTTCCACATCTGAAGACTTACCAGCCAAACTCCTAGTCAATGGGGTTGGATGGTCAAGACCTCAATCACAGGGTAAGAAAGGTTCCAAAAACCTTTATCCAGATAAACATATAGTCACAAATAATCAGAGTTCTATTGAGAGGTATGGAACAAGTTCAAGATTAGATATGCGAGAACCTTGGTATTGGTTCCCTAGTGCTGTGGCTAGCTTGAATGAGCTTGATTTTACTGGCCGTGCTAGTGGTCCAAAGGATGAACTTCCGTGGAAAGTTAGAGCATCCGTCATACAATCTTTCCGTGCATATCATGGGGCTCTGAGATCTTTCGCTGTTTGTCAAAATGAGTGTACAGTATTCACAGCTGGAGTTGGTCCGAACTTCAAAGGAAATATTCAGAAGTGGGAATTGTCACGAGTTGATTGTGTGTCATGCTATAATGGCCATGATGAGGTTTGTAGAGAATGATTATTTTATATCGTGATGACAGCAATGACTTTTTATATGTGCAGTTGTATCGTGTTTCACAAGCATAAAGATGTTGGTCTGAATAAGTTATTTGATCTATATATATGGGTTTTCCATATGATATATTCGCTTTGCTCTTTCTAGACTAATTTTCCTTTTAGGCATTCACTTTCAATTGGAATACCCAGAAAATAGTAACTTAAGATGTCTCAGTTGCTGTGTCTTCTTTGTTGTCAGGTTGTGAATGACATTTTTGTTTTAGCATCTTCCGGAAGGGTAGCTTCTTGTGATGGAACGGTACATATATGGAATGGACAAACTGGGAGACCAATTTCTATATTTTCTGAGAATTCCTTACACTCGACGCAGTCGAAAGAAAGAGACGAAGACAATATGCTTCATTTCAATCCATTACCAACTGGAATGGTAAGCACTGCTTTTCATGGGAATTCATACACTACAATGGACTATTTGGAATTCAAGGATAGGCTTCTTGTGGGTACTGGAAATGGATCTCTAAGGTAGTTTCATACTTATGTGCAAAAACTTTTGTATGCATACATACATAAAGACATGTTAAAATTACTCTTTTTTTGCCCTACAGATTCATTGATGTCAATCGAGGTCAGAAACTTCATCTTTGGAGGAGTGAATCCAGTGGCTATAGTTTCCCATCCCTTATATCATCCATTTGCTCTTCTAGCTCGATCAAAGAGCGTCCGGAGGAAACCGGTGGGCCTCCATCATGGATTGCAGCTGCATTCAGCAATGGTTATTGCAGGCTATTTGACATGAACAGTGGAAAAATTATTGCTTCCTGGCAAGCACATGATGGATATGTGACAAAGGTATAATCTGCACTGTGATTTACAAGGCTGAAAGAAAATATTGATTCACCGTGCAAAATTTTAAATCCTTGCAGCTAGCTGCAGCTGGAGATCATCTGCTTGTTTCTAGCTCTCTCGACAAAACCTTGAGAATTTGGGATTTGAGAAGGTAATTTATCTTTTCCGTTTCTCTGAACCAGGACTGATATCGAATATTATTTTTAAAAAACAATTAAAACCTCTATGTAAAATTGTAAATAGAGTCTTGAGAGTAACATTGAACTATCAAAGTAGGGTTTTAAAATCATTCGGTTGACGTCTGCTAGCTTTGTTTGTAACTTTGTATGTCACAAACATAGTATTACTTGCCTTTTGTGATCCCTTTTTGTATGCTCTGTTCTCCCAGGAATTGGACAGCAGAGCATACAGTTTTTAGAGGTTATAGTGATGGAGTTTCTGGTTTCTCTCTGTGGGGGCAAAATGTGATCTCCATTTGTAGAAATAAGATTGGCCTTTCCTCTTTACGGAGCTCTGCAGATGAAGTATCTCTCTCTCTCTCTCATCTCTCTCTTTCTCTCTCTCTTTACAGTGTTTCTGAACGTTAATGCGTGTGTTTACATGCACAGGACGAGAACTATCGGGTGAGTCCTCAGCATCTGTATATGGCTGATGGAGAATCAAAGAACACATCAGTCCTCTCAGCCATTAGTATTTTACCCTTTTCCCGCCTTTTCCTGCTCGGAACTGAGGACGGTCATTTGAAAATTTGCTGTTAGTGTTTCTTACAACTTTATAGAGCAATATTGATCGTCCTATTTATTTTGTGCTGGTAAGAGTATTAACTACAAAGCGGAGTATTTTTCCCTTTTTCAGTTGTCACATTCACGAGAAATAG